GTATTTCGGCTAAGGCCAACCAAGTAAATGGCCATACTGTAAGGTGATTAGAGATAGGTCCTTAATTCATGATTGCATGTGTTTGCATTAGCATGGCTCTTATAATGGGGTCATTTACTGAGTATTTCTTCGAAATACTCAGACCGTGTGACATATTGTTTTTCAGGTAAAGGCAAGGCGTCCATGTACGGTTGACAGCGACATCGTTATCAGAGAATGTGGCGCGTGCATTGGACAAAATAATACACTAAATAATACTATGTATTTTTTGGATCCTAACTCAATTATTCGGATTAGAAAATTTTCAATCCAAAAAATTTTTCTTAAATAATGAACTCAACCATCAAATTTTAAGGTTGGATTAGAATCTCGTGTTTATTCATTAAAATTTAATTCATAAAGAAAACTATTTATTTATTTTCAAATATTGAATTAAGTTTTACAACTTAGTTTCAATATATATGGTTAAAAATAATTAGGAGGGCTGAAAAATAAACATATATTAGTTCGTTGCTACAATGGAATGCTTGGGTATTAGTTCCCCATTTTATATCCGTGAAACGCCTCATCTTTGTAACGTCTTCTTTATTTCCTTGCAATTTCAAGGAAAGAATAATCACGTTTTGTAACGTCTATGCTGGCCGTTCTTGATTTAAAAGGAAGTTGTTTTATTTTATTCTTGTCTAGTCATGCGGTTAACATTGATTGATGGACGTAAATTATACTATTATTAAAAGTAACCTATTTCTTAAATACAAATTTAAAGCATGAACCCAACCTTATTTGTATTAATTATCTTTCATAATTTGTATAAAAGGTAGGAATGTAGGTGTACTATTGCTATACCTCTTTTCCTATGCGAGAAATTTAAGATGATAAGCGCAACGATTAGCATGTATTATAGCCCGGTTTATAAAATCTTCAAGTGGAAAGCTTAAGTTTTATAGCATTTAATTATGGTTTTTGTGATGGTTAAAGATTACCGTTTAATTGATGGGTGTGAAATTCAGTTGTTGATATCTTCGGTGCATTTAAATCATAAAGATTGCAGATATCAAAAATAGTTTTGATGATTTGGATTTAGAACATGGCCTGTTTCCTTGTCGTATTAATTTATAATAACCTTCTTTCCACATTTTTATTTTTTAATATTTTAGTCTCAATTATACAAGTATCTAAATTATTTTAATTAGTTTTTTTATTATGTCAATTATTTTTTAACTGTATTCAAAAAAATTTGACGACATGAAAAATCTAACATTTGTATGTTTGGATTGGATTATAAAATTATTCGAATTGGGTTGAGTTAAAATAAATCATAAATTGAATTGATTTATGAATATTAGTCGAACTAAACCAATCTAAATTTAGTTTTAGTTTTAAAATATACATTTTTGCTTAAAATATAAAAATATACTAGTGAAGGTTACTAGTTCTAGCGGGTGTCCGACCTAAGGGGCTCCTAGAGTATGCCCACCGGATAAGGAAGGTGGCCCAGCGGTGAGCGAACTAGCTTGTGAGCCCATACTCGCACGTATTGACTGTGTGTAGAGTATATGGTACACGTTCAAAATTACCCGTTAGGACAGCACCGTAGGAAAAGCGAAACAAAACGAAAGATAGGTCCCGTCATTTCATTGCATGTGATTGTTGCATTTAACCCTAATAGTGGGGTCACTTGCTGAGTATTTCTTTAAATACTCAAGCCATGTGCTACTACATTCTTCAGGTTAAGGCAACACATTCCTGTACGGCTGACGACGACATCGCAACTCGAGACCATGACACATGCATACAATAGTGGTATTTATTTTCTTAGACTCAGGCTAGAATAGAATGTTTTAAACTTAAACGCTTATTTATTTTATTTCGGGTCTTTTTTTGTGTCGTTTTAAAGATGTTTTCAAAACATGTAAGTCCATGGGTGTGTTTTAAGATAAAGGTTATGTTTTATGGAATTTAAATGAAGTCTTCAACATTCAATGTTATGGTATGTATAAAGTAGCGACCTTAAATTAAGTAGAAAATTTAAAGTAGCAACCTTAAATTAAGTAGCGACCTTACGGAAAATCGGCCAAAGTCGGGTATGGAAGATGAGATCCATGGATCCGAGTCAACCCGAACCCAGAACCTGGGAGAGCCAGCCCGTTCCTCCCTTGGCTTCTGCCTTCGGCCCAGCCCAACTACAGCGGCCCAAACCTCAAACCGGCCCAGAAGCTACGGTTCAGTTGAACCAACCCAGACTAGACCCACGGTCCAATTGAGCCGGCCTGCAAACCAAACACTTGCGGCCCAGCCCAGAAAGTCGAGGCCCAACGTTTAGCCTTGGCCCAGTAGCCTTCCAAAGCCCGCGACCCGAACAACGACCCGAACCGGACTGCGACCCGCGCTTCGACCCGACACTACCGCCCGACGTGGCTTTCTCTGCTGCTGCCACATGTCACACAGCGGCGCGGCAGTCCTCGGCTCGGCTCGGCGCAAACGGCTCGGGCTCCCTCCGGTGACGCTCCGGCGGCTCCTCCGGCGTCTCCAGCGGCTGTTCGGCTCGGCTCACCTGTTTTCAGCCCAGTTTCCACTGTTTCGACCCTCCCGGATCTGTTTTCAGCCCCGATTAAGGTATCCGAGGCCATTTTAGAGATGTATTTCACATTTATTAAATTATAGGTAAATTAATTGTGAAATACTAACGGAAAGTGGTGAACGGTGTGATAGGAAACAAACCCCAGCGAAGTAGGAAGCAGCTCTCACGGAACGGGAGCTTACGTTTAGCTATTTAGGGAGTACTTCGGCCGAGGCCAACCAAGTAAGTGGCCTTACTATAGGATAGGCTAAATAAATTGTATGATGCTTGATGATATGTTTATAGATATTTTGTTGAGTGACGCTTAATATGTTTGACGCACGTTGTGGCATTATGATGAGCATGATGATTGCATTATTTTTACCTTAATATGATGATGTTTTCCATATTGAGCATGCTAGATGATGATGAGTGCCATATTGCATCATGTCGTTAGATCGACGTAGGACACAACCCTAAGAGCATGAAAATGATATTAATATAAATATCCACGATATGCGTTACCTAGAGTAACAAAGAGATGAGACTAGAGGGTTGTGTCAGAAGAGACATTACGATGGGTTTAGAGGGACCTCATGCATTTTGTATCTTCATAAGCATAGGGCTACTTCCCCTAGAGATGATGAGTGCGGACGCGCACCTTATGACGAGCGCGAATGCGCACAGGTGCGAAAGCACACAGATGAGGGTGTTCATGAGGCGCATGACACTATGGGGTTCCGCTGACCTCCGGACGTCGCTACAGATTAGCTTGACCAGAGGGTCTAGGGGGTGTGCGAGCGCCCTGTGGACTCACACTCGCACGTGTGAGTCGTGTGTAGGGAAGTACTACAACATCCAATTTGTCCTAGACTGGAGGCCACCCCTAAGATGATTAGAGATAGGTCCCTATTCATGATTGCATGTGTTTGCACTAGCATGACCCCTATAGTGGGGTCACTTACTGAGTATTTCTTCGAAATACTCAGGTCGTGTGCCATATTGTTTTTCAGGTAAAGGCAAGGCTCCCATGTACGGTTGACGGTGGCATCGTGATCAGAGACTGTGGCGCGTGCATAGGATAGTTGCATATTTAAATTTCCTAGTCTTGGTTAGGATAGGGCGTTTGCATTTCATTCATTTATATTCATTAATTTGTAATCGTTTTATTTTGTCTTTTGAACTCCAGAACGATGTTTGAAACACGCAAGTCCGGCAGTGTTTTCCAGTTTTTTAATGTATTCTGAAGTTTTAAATTTTTCCGCTAATAAAGGTGAGCATGCTTAGATTTTTATTCTGCATTAGAGATGCGCATGAGACGTTAGTGGCGACTCTAGATATGTGGAAATTTAGGGTCGTTACAGTTGGTATCAGAGCTCTAGGTTTTAGATTCTGTAGACTAGCCTACGATGTAGGCTTGGCACGCTCCACGGTCCCAACGTCGATGCCCCGTCACCGTCAGGTACGCCTTGCATAAGATAAGAAAAGAGAAACGTTTTAAAACTCGCATGCATTTTTTTTTTTATGTTGACATTACTGAAATGGTTGTGATATTTCACGTATTTATTTAAGAGTATGACGTCATGTGTTGCATGCTGAGTAATTTTGTTAATAGCATGATATGATGCTTAGCATGATGAATGTTTACTTCTTTGGCGTTACGATGTATTGTATAGTGTGCGTATTGATATATATATATATATATGCATAGTATTAAGGCCTTAGACTTAAGCAACCTTATATTGGTTTATAGAACCATGCCCGGAGGACGAGGAAGAGGAAGAGGAAAAGGAAGAGGAAGACGAGGAAGGGGGCGACCCCGTCGTAGAGAAGTAGGACGAGGTGTGGCAGTAGAGGGCCCACCTCAAGAAAGATCAGAGACTGGGCCGGTAACAGTTACGCCGCCCCAGTCTTACCACCAGTTGAGCTACCTCCTCTAGCTCCACTACAAGTTGAGCCTCCACCACCAGTACAACCTCCACCACAAGTAGAACCTCCACCCCAGCCTACCCTACCACTCCAAGTCGCACCTGAAGCTGCACCCCCAGTGGGTGGAGTAGATGCTAATACTAGGTTAATGTGTGACTCCATCCAAGCCCTAATTCAAACCTTGGTAACCAATCAGCAAGCCAGTCTACAACAGGCCCAGGAACAAGCCCAAGCACAGGCCCAGGCACAGGCGTTGGCACTGGCACAGGTACAGGCACAGGTACAGGCACAGGCACAGGCACAGGCACAGGCACAGGCACAGGCACAGGCACAGGCACAGGCACAGGCCACTGCTCAGGCCAATGCCCCAGTAAACCCTCCACAACCGGTTAGATGTTCAAACTGGATAAGGGATTTCAAGAGATACGACCCTCGACCATTCACTGGTTCCCTGGTAGACCCCATAGAAGCCCAAATGTGGATTGTAGCGGTGGAAACCACCTTTGAGACTATGGAGTGCCCAGAGAACCAAAAGGTCGCCTGTGCAACCTTCGTCCTACAAAAGGACGCAGAGATATGGTGGAGAGATAACAAAACCCTCCTTAACCCAGAAGGGGGACCAATGAACTGGGAACGATTTAAGGAGGCCTTCCTTAAAGAATATTATCCTAAGTCAGAGCGACTTAAAAGGCAGCAGGAGTTCGCCCACCTAGTACAGGGAGGACTCACAGTGGAGAAGTACAACAGAGAGTTTAATAAACTCAAGAGATTTGCACCGTCCATGGTGGACACTGAGGAAAAGATGACAGAGAAATTTGTATTGGGTTTGGAACCAAGAATCCGCCGCATGTTGGAGGCGTTCAACCCAAAGACCTATGAGGAAGCCTTGAGAACTGCCAAGGCTTTAGAGAAACCAAAGGATGAGAAACGACGTGAAGAGCCAGTTATAATTGGGCAGAAGCGTCCTCATGAATCAGGAGGCTCTGACCGTCCACCACCAGCACGTAGGCACCGTTCCAATAACAGACCCGCTCCTAGATGGGATGAGCGACGCCCTCCCCGACATACTGACAGGAACCCCAGGAATCAAGATGGGGCCAGAGGGAGGAGAGAGGAAGGGTGCACTATCTGTGGAAGACTACACGGTGGGAGGTGCATGGCTGGCAGCCGAGCGTGTTATAGATGTGGTCAGGAGGGGCACATCGCCGTGAACTGCACGGCCGGAAATGCTGTAGCACAAGCAAACCCGCCCAGAGTAGTAGAGCAAACGGATCAACCAGCACCACCGCGAGCTCAAGCTAGGGCATACGCGTGAACCAGCAAGGACACTGGGAGGTCCGACGCCGTGGTGACAGGTACACTATCCATTTTAGGTCATTTCGCTTTTACCTTATTTGATTCTGGTTCCACGCATTCCTTTATTTCCATGCCTTTTGTTGTACAAGCAGGGTTCGAATTAGAACCCTTATTGCATGAAATGTCTGTAAGCACCCCTACGAGGGTAGACTTAGTATCTAGGGATAGAGTAAAGGATGGCCAAGTAATCATAGGGAACCAAACTTTAAGCGTTGACCTGATGGTGGTAAACATGACAGATTTCGACGTCATACTAGGCATGGATTGGTTAGCTGAAAATCGAGATAGTATAGACTGTCGCAAAAAGGAAGTAAAATTTTCACCACCGATAGGACTTACCTTTAAATTTAAAGGCACAAATACCAGGATTACCCCCAAGGTAGTTTCGATGATGAAAGCAAAGAGGTTAGTCCAACAAGGTGGATGGGCTATATTAGCATGTGCTGTAGACGTGAGAGGAAAGGAAGAGACCCTAGTAAACGTTCCAATAGTAAATGAGTTCCTGGATGTATTTCCGGATGACTTACCTAGAATACCCCCTTCCCGAGAGGTCGACTTCGTCATCGAACTCGAGCCGGGAACTGGGCCTATTTCCAAAGCACCCTATCGCATGGCGCCAGCAGAGTTGAAGGAACTCAAGGTGCAACTGCAAGACTTACTAGATAAAGGATTCATTCGACCTAGCGTGTCCCCCTGGGGTGCGCCAGTGTTGTTTGTTAAGAAGAAAGATGGATCGATGCGTCTGTGCATCGATTAAGAGAGCTAAACAAGAGGACCATAAAAAACAAATATCCTCTGCCTAGAATAGAAGACTTGTTTGATCAACTCAGAGAAGCAACAGTATTCTCTAAGATAGATCTTCGGTCCGGTTACCACCAAATTAG